GATGATGATGTATGTTCAGGGCTGCATTGCAACATTGATTGTTCGGATCACTGGTATCTAAGTCTTCCGTTGTGCTATCTTATACTTTGTATTGAAAGGTCGGTTCTTGTTCTGGTCTGCACGTTACAGTATGCAACAGCAGTCCAACTATGTTTTCAAAAAAAATGAAATAAAAAAAAATTGACCCACTTTTTGGCTCAACCGGAATTTCGGTTGGACCACCGGGGGTCCAACCGTTGGTCCAACCGGTCCGGTTGCTGGCACAGCCCTGACTTTTTCCAATATAATAATGGGATGCTGAACCGTATGTCCAGCAGGCGCAGCTCTCCACCAATACAAAAGAGACGTCAACACTTATTTTCGAGCCCTTGATGGGGAAAAAAAAATTGTGTAGTAAAAACCATGGTTGTGGCCGACCCGGACACTGTAAAGATCTGGGCAGAAGGCTGAACGTTGGTCCGGATTGCTCCTGACTGTCTGGATGTCAGGACAACATCAGGACCTCTACCCAGATTTGTCTCGATCGATTTAAAAAAAAAAAAAAACAAGGAGCTCTGACTCTCTTCTGAGGTTTTTGAACCTACCTTATGGTTGGAAGAGAGCAACTTTTCGAAAAGATAAGAACAAAGAAAAAAAGTTAAAAAAAATTAACAGTGTTAACACACTTTTCAAAACAGATTGGAACCGTATTTCAGAACAAAAATTTCACAAGTTGAGAACAGCACTGCACAGTTGGAGACATATATGATGTTTCAAAACAGTTCGAACTTTTGAAGTTCACGCGTCAAACTTCGGTTGCGTTCGGTACGTATTTGCAAAGTTTGATTACACCTGAAAACACAGACTGCAACGGAGGTCTGGAGCTCAAACCTCTGCTTCAAATCTCAGTAACCAACGAATTTACCAACCAGTATTGCGACCAAGGTAGCAGCCAGTCAACATTGGTTCATGTGAATGATCACGAGGGGGATCAATTTGATTCCTCTCTGATCTTTTGTGGCAAAAAGATACACAAAAGTGAAGTTTTCGTTTGCCGAGTTCTGGAATTGAAGGGTTTCCGGTGAACCTGTTGAAGTGAAAATTTTCACAATGCAAAGTTTTGTCAATTGTTGGTTTGCCTTTTGACGATGGTGGGGAATCGTGATGTCATTCTGCCATTTCCTTTTTGGAGGTGGTCTGCAGGGCGAGCAATGGGATGATCGACCACAAGACAACAGAGATGGAGGCGGTATGCATCTACGGTCATCCTCTCTCTCTCTCTCTCTCTCTCTCTCACACACACACACACACACACACACACACACACACACACACACACTCACACACACACACTCATACACACACACATCCTGACTCCCACATATACCCTCACACACTCACACACACACACACACACACACACACACACACACACACACACACACACTCACACACATACACATGGCTTGACATGCCATGCTTAGATAGCTGCGAACGTCAGCCTGTGCTTTCCTGCTCGCATGTCAGCAACATGCCATGTGTCGGCAATGTTTTCGGGAAGCTGTCATTGCAAGTGTGCCGGTACTGCGTGGACTATCCCCAATGCCATCACCCGCCACATCCTCTCCTAGCATGTCCCACATGCAGTGTTGGGCATACATCTGCTGCAACCATGGCTGGATATCCTTCATCCTTGCCAGACGAACAACAGACACAGCAGCCTGGGGAGGAAAGTAGACTACTGCATGAACCACCTACAGTGCGCTGTAATGAAAAGTTATCACCACTAGGGCAAACGGTTGCAGACCAGAACTTGCAACAGTCCATAGAGAGGAAGTAGTGAGGCAACTGCACGAGGAAAGGTCCCATAGATGGAGTAATGAGACTACTGCACGAGGAAAGGTCCCATAGAGAGGTTGGATCAGCCCTTGTCGTTGCCTGCCGATAGAGAGGGAGTAATGACAGCGGAAAGCCAAGAAACTTGCTCAATGCCGCTCTGTGATGGCCCACCTGAGACTTGGCTAGCATGTGACTCACATGCTTTGTGTCGTGAGGATTATGATGGCAAAGCCCATGCAAGTGTTTGTTTTCATTCGTTTGGTGACAATCAGCATTGCACTCATGTACGGCACCCTGACATGTCATATCCAATTTGTAGAAAGGGGCTGGAACGGCAATGCCGAAACAATTGAGGTCGGCGTGCCTCTGTGCTCCTAGCATGTAGAAGGCACGTAGCCTTCAACACCTGTCTATGTCGTGCCATTCACTGCGACTGGATGCGGTGCTTCCCCAGCCCAGACCCGAACCAGTCCCATCCGTTCTGTAGGGGTGGCCACTTACTGTAGGCAATGGCCGCTGCTCAACTCCGAATCTTCTGCAACCCAAACACTGACTGACCTCTTGTGCCATCCTAGAATAGTCTGCTCCAGCGGTGAGTACTCAGAACCCTGTGATAAGTTAGTCATTCCTTTGTTCTGTTCTTTGCCCCTCCATTTCCCTCCTCTACTCCTTCTCTGTCTATATCATTCCTCTGTTCTGTTCTTTGGCTCTTCATTTCCCCCCTCTACTCCTTCTCCCTTTCCCCCCCCCTTCACTGTCTATGGAACTCTTACCTTCTACCAGTTTCCTCCCTCCCCTGCGACGGACTGACGGATTGCTCCCTATGGCCTAACTGAATCTGGACTGAAAGTAGGGAAAAGTACAGACAGACCAAAACAGCAGACCTACGGACCGGTACCACTGAAGGAACTAAAGGAAACAAAGAAAGGAACCGGTACGGGACAGGTCTAGGGATCAAATCCCAGCCGGACCTAAAGCTAAGAAAAGTGGGTAGACCCACGAGTTAGTGTACAGCCTGCTAGAACTACAACCTGCTAGAACCCAGCAATTCATTGCATAAATCTGCTCTGATTTGGATCTACAGATTTTGCACATCTGGATGGAGAAGCCCTTCAGGACATCCGTTAAAATTGCTACGATACAGAGAAGATTAGCATTAAAAGAAAAAGAAAAAAAACAATCTGAGTGGAACAGGGGCTGTTGTGGTGAAAATCTAAAACACATATGGATGCACACACCCACAAACAAAGTTACACCGACATACACTTACTCCTTTTAGACGAGGTGTATTAGGAGGTCGACGTATGGTGGGATTTGTTAATGAATTTGCGAGACTTCAATCCATCCCAGCAAGAATCGCTCATGCACACTTGAGTCGAAAAAACTATCACACTTGATAGGTTGGATGATTCACTAAAAACTGGAATTGCGGCATATACACTTCAAACTTCAAAGTTCAAACTTAAATTATTGATGAAACCAACCGAACAATCTGCAAACATGGGCGCCAAGGTGCCTTGATCATTAAGTGGCATACAACAGAAAATTGAAAATGATGCGGTGTAGCAGCAGAGCCAACCGGCTGCAGCTGCGCCATTTTCTCCTTGCTTCATGCGCTAAAATTAGTGCAGCTTGGTTCTTCACACTTTTACGAAGCTTGACGAGTGTTTTCCGAAGGAGCCATAAGTCGCACAAAGAGGAAACAACAAGAGGAACCTGTCGCACAAACCAAGCTGTGCTAATTTTAGCGCACGAGCCATAAGAGGAACCTGTCGCACAAAGAGGAAACAAAAAGAGCCATAAGGCTTTCTTCAAGGGAAACAAAAAGAGGATCCTGTCGAACAAAGAATGCTCCAACGTGTTCATGGAATAAGTGTATACAGATAGGTGGGTGTTTCTATCGAACAAAGAATGCTCCAACGTGTTCATGGAATAAGTGTATACAGATAGGTGGGTGTTTCTAGGCAGGAGGGAGAAGCGTGGCGGGTGTCAATGATGTCAGGGACGCGGGACCCGCTTTCCAGCATATTTAATTAAAAACTTGGCCTTTCTTGTCAAGGAGGAGGAGAGGGGAGAGGAGGGGAAGACAGGGCGGGCTCCAGTGCTGCCCCACAGGTTTTGTGGCATGGACTTGTGCAGGGGGGGGATGTGAGGGCAGAAAGGATGGAATGAGGATTGGAGATTCCTTCATTGTGGAGTTGGCAATCAAATAAAGTTTAATTATGGCATATTTGCACTAGGACTTTTTCGACTAGTATCTGGACGTAATTGCCATTAGATGCATGCAGGAGAAACCGCATTTTCTTTTTTTTCTTTCTTTCTTTCTTTCTTTCTTTTTTTTTTTTTTTTTTTTTTTTTTTTTTTTCTTTTTTTAACAGGTCCTTATGGCCCTGTCTCCATTCCATTCTGGGGAGCATCAGTCCGGTTCCTATTCCACCGGCAAGTCAGAATACAATGTTACATCATGACACACACTCACACTTCCTTCCGTCTGGCCGAAAGACCCCTGACCAGCATTGATTACTCCAGCATCGTGGAGGATTGACTGCCAGCTTGCCTTACTTCCACCATCCCTCTCAGGTCCACATCATGAACCTGTCAGATAAATAATAAAGAGCAAGAAAGGTAAAAGAAGCTGCGGCGGATGCAATCTCGGAGTTTTCCCATCAATATTATGTGGCCTGTGATGGATCTTGTCCATCTGCTGGCTGGGATCTCTGCGTTCTCCACCCTGCTCCTGAGTTATCTCTGCTACTTTACCCCCTGCGAGCCACACCTTAGTGAATTTTGGCGAGATTCTTCTGTGTTGCTCTTTGTCATCTGGCATGGAGTGTCTCGTCTTTTGCCACTTGCAAAGAATCTCTGCCTGAATCAAGGTCCTTGTCTCCGCCCATACCTTCTCCCTTGAAATTGAGAGTCCCTCAAATGGTTCTGCAGCACCTTTCCTTCCAGATGGACCACAGCGTTACCTTTCTGATCATTCCAAACCACATTTTCTGTGTCTTGTGGAATTGAGCTGGGATGTTCATCCATAGGAGTTGGATGGGGTGTTCAGGGAGGGGAGTCGAGGAGAGGGAATTCCAGAGATCCGAGGCCCTCGCCCAGTATTCTGTCGCCTCTCGACAGCGTATCAGGCAATGTAGCATATCTTCTGGTTCATTTTCTGAACATACCACACACAAATCTGAACTGTAGGGGTCGTTCTTACTTCTTCTGATATGCAGCCACTGGTTAACCGGTAGAGCCACGTATGATATGAGCAATTGGAGGCTTCTGATTTTGACGGGACGGATTGATTTGAATTTTTTTGTGGGATCTGACTAGCGTGCTGACCTAATAACTTCTGCCATCTGTTCTTGATCGTTGAGTCAGGATCGTTTGTTGTGAGGAGTAAGTTGTATCCCAGCTTGACTGTGTATTCCTGGATGGGGACCTTCGTTTTGAGACTTCTGCTTCTATCTGGTGTCCAAGCCCATTCTGATGGATCAAAGTCCAAGTCTTGAATCGTCGTATCTATTCTGAAGATTGTTTTGGGCCATGATCCCAACACTCTTATTTTCCGGAGAACAAAAGGGTTTATGACTGTTCTTTCCACCTCCTTATTTATGATACATCGGGGGGCCTTGCATGGATTAGGTAATTGTGAAAGAGTTAAACACAGCCAGGGTATCTGACCCATGTTGTTTATGGGAGAATTGATAGGCCCTTGAGGGGGTTAAATCGTGCACCCTCACTCCCCATTAATCCGATTTCCAGGTTGAGGCTTCGCTCAACAACTCCTTCCAGCCCTCTGGGATGCAGTTGATAATGAATTGTAGGTTCTCTTCTCGACGGTGACATCCTTTGAGCTGGGAGGCCAGTTCCTGCTCTGTCACCCAGTCCTTTTTCTCCTCGTTCCACAGATGACTCACTTTCCAAACTCCATGTTTGATCCACGATAGCCATCTCCTTCCTCTCGGCTTAAGGGATCGTTGGTGATCACTTTCGTCTCTCGTCCACGGATTACCAAACAGGGGTTCTCTCAACATCTCATCTTTGGATTTGGGTCTACCCACCTTCTTCGGCATGACTTCCCACCATATCCATAGCAATGCAGTCCAATATGGTGTGGGGGCCCTGGCTTCGTTGGACCGATTTCTCTTCTCTGATTTCTGTGCCCTGTACTTGGACTCCATTCCTTGGTCATTACCCAGAACAGACCAGACATGTCTGCTGGTGAGGCTGTCGGTGCTAGGCCCCTGATGCTGTCCAAGGCCAGTTTATTCCATGCCGTACCAGGTTTAGTTAGTAGTTTGACTATCCATTTAAGGCTTTGGTTTCCTGTTTGGGGTCTATGATACCAAGACCTCCTCTGGCTGGTTTCCTTGTGATGTAATGCCATGCTATCTTTGGTATACAGTTCTCTTTGTTGGGGTCTCCCGACCACAAGTACGCTCTTGCTTTGCGGTTAAGTTCCTTGATTGTATGGTCCAGAACTGTCCAGATTGACGCTATATACCACATCATTGAAAAAATAGATGTGTTGATGGCAAGTGCTCGGCTCAGTAATGATGTGAATGTGCTACTCCATCTGCCTAGTTTGTTAATTTGTTTAAACTTTAACGGGTATATTTTGGGCCATTTGAGGTGCAAAGCCGTCTTTTGTCAGCAAAATGCCTAGATATCGCGTAGGGGTCTCTGGTGTCTCCCAAGTCATGTTTGCCTCAGGGCCTTGAAGCTGGGGAACCTCCTCCTCCAATAGCTACCAGCCAATTGTTTTCTTCCAAATAATCTTGGACGTCATTGGGGCCAGAAACATCCAGGTGTGGCTGTAATTGTGGTCAGATGCGTCCAGAAAAGTCTGAGTTTTTTTTTAAGGGAATAGTAGGAATACTCCTTTTCGAATGAACTCTGGACGTAATTGGGGACAGAAACATCCAGGTGCTGCTGTAATTGTGGTCAGGTGCACCAAGGAAAGTCCTAGTGTGCATATGCCATCAGAATGCTGGGATGTTAAAACACCAGTTCACCTGAAGCTACGTCGGGTTCTTCCTGGTTTATGTGGTAAGGCCATGACGCTTTGAGCCTGGTCCCCAAACGCGGAAGGCCACTGTCAAAACAAAAGGTTGGAGGCGCACGAGCCTTGGAAGGTAGCTTCGCCAACTTAAGGCTTGTGTGAACTGGTAGTTTAATTCCCTCACGGCTCAAACCAAAGCTGGGTGACGGTCCCAGAAGGGCCAGAACAGTATTTTACTATTTTCTTTCTCCGGGTTGTTTGTGAGGAATTTCTGGCCTCATGGTTCTGCCTTCTCTTTTTCTTTTCTAAAAGGGCGACGGCCTTGAGATATCATCATTGAACTGACCGGCCGAGTAGACTCAGAGTTAATTTTTACTCATCTGATTCCATTCGGATTCGAACTCAGGTCTGGATTTCAACAGTTCATGGGTGTACTGAGTGCCTCATTGTTCTGCCTGATAATGGAGTTCCTTGCTTTCCTTCCAGCAACCCGCTGCAGCACACCCTTCCCCCCCCCTTCCTGAAAAAGAAAACACAAAGAATATGCTTGCAACTTCAAACTTCAAACTCAAATTCAAACTTGGAGACTTGTGAAAGAATGGAGAGCTTGATGGGCCCAAAGGGCATGTATGAAAAAGGGAGGGCTGTCTGCAAGGACCCTATGCTAAAGAAAGTTAAGAAACTCAATTCACAAGCACAACGAACTCTCATGAGCAGCATTCATATGGCGACAAGGCGATTCATGGGAATGGCAAAGGAATGAGCGCAGCAGCAACAAAAATGGAGAATGCTGTGGTCTCTTGATGGAGAAAAGACCTGTCCTCACCTCCCAACAACCAATACAACAACAATGATACGTCTCTGCTCTCGCTGGTTTCACTACCAGCCTCTGTGATAGGTACTTCTATCGTCTATCCTAGCCACCACGACACCAATGTATAGTGCCGCAAAGTACAGTGCTTCTCCCACCGATGCCAGAGTGCAGAATCAACAATGCTGAAGCTCATCTCGGCAAACACCAGGTATGTTCCTCGCCACACCTCCTCCCTACGGTGTTCCTCCTCCCATGATCTCTCTTCCATGTGCCACCTCCTCTTCCTGGCCGCCCAGCTTAGCTCTCACTTGCACTGTGTGCCTCCACCCTCACTCACTGGCCAGCACTACCGTCTTCACCCGAATAGAACGCCCGGCAATTATCGCTGCATCTGGACTGAAAGTTGTGCCAAATACAGCTATAATGACCAGGCGTTCTATTCGGGTGAAGACGGTAGTAATGCTTTTCCTGAATACAATGTATGGTCATTATAGCTGTGCATTTGGGGTATCATTCAGTCTAAATACAGCTATAATGACCATACGTTGTATTCCGGGGAAGAACTTCGAAGAAGGTCGCACTTCTTGCCAGGCTGTGTTCTAGCAGTTGAATGCTGTCTGCCAACATGCGAAAAGATCCCCAGACTGCCCAGGCCTTTGCCTTAATGCCAGGTCGGGATCGGGGCAGACCGGTGGGCTCTGCCTTCCAGTACTTCCAGCAGCCGCGGTTTGCCAGGGTCCCAATTACCTGAGCTGGTACCATCACCAGCCTGACCTCGTCCTTTTCCGAAATAGGCCGGGTTTGATTTTCCACAGGCAAAAAAAAAAAAAAAAAAAAAAAAAAAAAAA